GAGAGACCAGATGTCATCCAAGGCTATAGAATCCAATCTGTCCTGCTATTTACCCATAGGATTCCTGCCATTCCCAAGGGTATTAGCACGTAAGTGAATGTAATGGATTCGACTGGAATTCGAACTCTCTTCTCCGATTCGTCAATCCAAGCCGCTATCCATTACTCCTCCGGGAAAATCTAGAAGAGGATTCATACCTTTCCCAAGGTTATTAGCACGTAAGTGAATGTAATGGATTCGACTGGAATTCGAACTCGGCTCTCCGATTCCTCAATCCGAGCCGCTATCCATTACTCCTCCGGGAAAATCTAGAAGAGGATTCATATCTTTCCCAAGGGTATTAGCACGTAAGTGAATGTAATGGATTCGACTGGAATTCGAACTCTCCTCTCCGATTCCTCAATCCCAGCCGCTATCCATTACTCCTCCGAGAAAATCTAGAAGAGGATTCATACCTTTCTCAAGAGTATTAGCACGTAAGTGAATGTAATGGATTCGACTGGAATTCGAACTCGGCTCTCCGATTCCTCAATCCGTGCTGTTATCCATCACTCCAATGTGCCTCCAGGAAATTTATCTTATGTATGTCAAATGAAATGCATAGAGCTTATTTATGTCAAATGAAATGCATAGAGCTTTCTAAATAGGCAAGAATTCCTGGATGTCTACCAAAAACTTTGGAGCGAACTTTCCGATGTTACAGTTTTGGCAAGTTTCTTTCTTTATATATTTTGAAGGGACGGAGAAAATGATAAATGTACTCGTCTTCCCTTCAGACAAGACAGAATATTAAAAAAGATAAGAATTTTTTCCTGTAATTTAGCACCAAAGTTAAAATCCTATTAATATGTATAGATATATTTTGAAGGAAATGAATGCAAAATTATGCTTTAGCGTTCCTTTTCGCATAGATCATTCTGCAAAGAATGTCGTACTGATGGAGACGAATTAAACAAGCTATGCCATCATTATTATTATTTAGAGAGTTTACGTTAGATATTTTGGCATTAGTAGAGTCACCAGGTAGGAATCATAGACCAGAATAACCAGATAATAAAATGGTATACGTGATATGTACGTAAGAATATCATCTAAATCAAGGCTCAAGTGGTACCCAAGTTAGAGTAATATAAAAAGCTATGTGCTATATGAACGTAAGAAGAAGTATGAAATTAAGATTATGCATATATATAGGATGGATAAGATAAGTAAAGATGTTAATATTGTAGTTTTCGAAGAAGCATCCCATTCCAGGAGACTTTGGGAAGAAACTGTCTTATTGGAACTGATTCCGTGGAGCTAGTGGGAATGATGAGTAAGGACGTCTAGTGAAGATCAAGAATAATGATTAACCACAGTAAACCGCAAACGATTAACACACAATTACTGAAAGGTAACAAATACTGGATAATTTTTCTTTTTACTAATGTTCACACTGGAAAAAGATGTCGAGAGCCACTCAAGTTAAAGTATTACTGAGCGGGAAATATGATACGAAAACATCAGGAGGTAGAAGAAATCGAGGAATGTGATAAGAAAACAAAATGGGGTGTAGAAGAAATCGAAGATTATGAGGATATGGAATATAGATAAAGATTAACACCTGAATTAAAGAGGTTACGTTTGTAGCGTTTTTGTTATCTCTCATCATCATCTAATTCAAGCCTCAAGGGCCGCCCAAGTTAGAGTATTATAAAAAGATATGTGTTATATGAACGTAAGAAGAAGTAGAAAATTAAGATTATGTATATATATAGAATGGATAAGATAAGTAAAGATGTTAATAGTGTAGTTTTCGAAGAAGCATCCACCCGGGAGGCTTTGGGAAGAAACTGTCTTATTGGAACTGATTCCGTGAAAATTATGAGTAAGGACGTCAAGTGAAGATCAAGAGTAATGACTAACCAGAGTAAACCGCTCACGATTAACACACAATTACTGAAAGGTAACAAATACTAGATGGTTTTTCTTTTTACTAATGTTCACATTGGAAAAAGATGTCAATAGCCACTCAAGTTAGAGTATTACTGAGCTAGGATTGTGATAAGACAACAAGAGGATGTAGAAGAAATCGATGAGTATGAGGATATGGAATAGAGATAAAGATTAACACCTGACTAAAAAGAGATTATGTCTGTAGCGTTTTTGTCATGCTTCACGATCATCTCATTCAAGAGCCACCCAAGTGAGAGGATTATAAAATGATATCTGCGATATGAACGTAAGAAGAGAAAGTAGGAAATGAAGGTAAAGCAGATATATAGGATAGATAAGATACTTGAAGAGGTTAATATTGTAGTTTTCGAGAAAGCATCCACCCGGGAGTCTTTGGGAAGAAACTGTCTTAATGGAACTGATTTGGTGGACCTAGTGAGACTCGTAATTAAGGACACCTAGTGAGAATCACGAGTAATGACAAACCAGATTAAACCGCTAATGAGTAACAAACAATGTATTGTTAAATGTAACAAATACTGTATGCTTTATACTCTTACTAATGTTCTCAGAATATAGGTCTCACGGGTAAGGACACCTTGTGAGAATCATGAGTAAGGACACCTTGTGAGAATCATAAGTAAGGGCACCTTGTGAGAATCCCGGGTAATGACAAACCAGAGGAAACCGGTAACGATTAACACACAAGTTATTACTAAAAGGTAACAAATACTGGATGTATTTTTTCTTTTTACTAATGTTCGCATTAGCATAAGCCTCACGAGCCACTCAAGTTAGAGTATTACTGAACGAGGAATTTAATAAGAAAACAAAAGGAAGATTATGAGGATATGGAATGTAGATTAAAATTAACACCTCACTTAAAGAAGTTATGTTTGTAGCTTTTTTGTCATCACTCACCATTATCTAATTCAAGCCTCAAGGGCCGCCCAAGTTAGAGTATTATAAAACGATATCTTTGATATGAACCTAAGAAGAGTAAATAAGAAATGAAGATTATGCAGATATATAGGATGGATAAGATGCTTGAAGAGGTTAATATTGTAGTTTTCGAGGAAGAATCAACTCGGAAGTCTTTGGGAAGTAACTGTCTTAGTGAAAAGGATTCCGTACAAATAGAAAATGGAATGAACGGGGCTAAGTTCGACTCGGGCATGTAGCATAGCTGGTTTTAACTGTGAAGGATCAAACTAAAGAATGAATCCTGTTTGAACATTTGCCATGGAAATAGCGATAGAGCTCATATTCCAAACGTCGATTGGCAGCTTCGGCGTGATTGTTAGTGTTGTCTTCATTATTTCGAGTTCGTTCATAAAGGTTCCATATCTTGGGACCAAAAATACGGGTCACTCTCGCATTTCGAGGCCTATTCAGTCGTTCAGTATAAGTATGCGCAAACCAATGGAACAAGGCTATTAGTTCTGCTGCTAATGTATCCATGTACTATCCATCTTTTCTAATGGAACGAAGATAAGTGCTATAATCATTTTAGCCCATAAAACAAAGTCTTTTGCTTAATTTGAGGTTATAGTTTATTTTATTTTCATAACCAATTATCAATTGATCGTAGTGCGATCGTCAATTTTCCGTTGGCTACTCAGCTCTCTATAGATAGCAGGATACTATACCTCTGAACCGAAGTGAAAAAGATGATATTGAATCACTTGCTAGGTCTACTGCTAGGAAAGATGGTTCACTGTGTCGTACTAGACAATTTTTCTCGCCAGAATCTATCGTAAATATTCACAAATCTACCCTTCGCCTGTGGTTCGAATTTTACGTTATGTCTGCTCCGGATATCTATGAGAGTCTTGACAAAATACAAAAAAAATCTGAAATGTTATTGATCTTGGCAGCTCAGCTTTAGTCCCTTTCCCGCTGCCGTAACGTAGTTTAATATGTCTTTTCTATAAAGATTTCCATGGCAATTGTTCTGATAAACTCTCCTCTATGGAATCTAAACTCTAGACTTTATGTATTTAAGCGCGGAACTAAACTACAAGAGTGCATGACATCTGTCATTCTTTACGGCAGCGAATGTTGGATGATTTCCTCAAAGATGAAGAAGAGACTCGATGCGACAGAGATGTGGTTCTACAGAGGGACGCTGGGGATATCATAGACCGAGCGTGTGAGCAACGATGAGATCACATATAAGTTGTAAACAAGGAGAAGGCTTGTGTTTAATGTCAGGAAGCGTCAGCTGAACTTTTTGGGGACACACAATGCGGAAGGAGGGCCTGGAGAATCTGATACCCACGTGTCGAATAGAGGGAAAGAGAGACAAGGGAAAACAACGCCTGGCATACCAGGCGGAATTAAGCAAATGGATGACAGAACGTGGTCTGGGGGAAGAAAGAGAAGAAAGGAACTTGTTGAGATCTGCAAGATCTGCAAGTAGATCGTCTACGTCCTGAAAGGATATGTCACATAAAAAGAAAAGACTAGATTGGCGGCAAGGTCTCATCATCTTACAAATAATATGGTTAGATGTAACCGCAGGTTCTATGATAGCTCTTTCTTCTAGCGGATTTCTGGCTTATGGAATTCTCTTGCGGCCTCTTGATTGCAGCCGAGATCTTCCATATCTTCTGCATTTCTGTTTATTTATTATTCTCTCTAGTTTTCTTATTCTCATATTCAGTAACCACTCGGGGTGTTAGTCCCTTTATTGCCATGCTGGGGGTGACATGATTTAAAATTAATACTATTCCTACTCGGTTTCACAAAAGTCTAAATTATATGAATATACTTTGGTGCTAAAATTGTTTTTTTTTTAAACTTTCCTAAAATTGTTGTTGATTTCCAGGTACCAGTTAAAGATTTGATGCTATAACCATTGATAGTGCTGACAAGTGATGCAAGCATAAATAGCAATAATAAGGAAATTCTACAGACCTTGTTATGGTTGTAAATATTTTGGAATTCTAATGAAGGAGGTTCCATTAGTTTCTTTATATAATCTGAGGATTTAAAATTGTCACGCGTTGAGATTATAAAATATAAATGCAAAGAAATAAATGAATCAATTTATTCGGGATAATTTAAAGAAATATTGAAATGGGGAAGAGAATGAAAAGAGGAGAGGGGATTAGAAAGAAAGAAAGAAAGAAAGAAAGCCAGGAAGAAAAAAATAAAAGAACGAAATGTGTTGAAAAAGGAAACAAAGAAAGAAAGAAAGAAAAAAAGAAAAAGACAGAAAGAAAAGAAAAAGAAAAGAAAGAAAAATGTGGAAAAAGAAAACAAGCAAAAGAAAGAAAGAATGAAAGAAAGAAAAGTTTTAAAAAAAGGAACAAGAGAAAGAAAGAAAGAAAGAAAGAAAAAGAATGAATGAATGAAAAAGACAGAAAGAAAAGAAAAGAAAGAAAACGTATGGAAAAAGGACACATGTAAAAGAAAGAAAGAAAGAAAGAAAGAAAGAAAGAAAGAAAGAAAGAAAGAATCAAAAGGCTGGAAAAGGAAAAAGTAAAAGAAAGAAAGAAAAAATAAAGAAAGAAAATAATAAAAGAAAGAGAAATTGTTGAAAAGGAAACAAGTAAAAGAAAGAAAACGAAAGAAAAGAACGTATAAAAACGTATAAAGCGATAAAAAAGAAAAGGACAGAAAGAACGGCAACGAAAATATTCTGTAAAAGAAAGAAAGAAAGAAAGAACGAAAGAAAGAAAGAAAGAAAGAAAGATGGAAAGAAAGAGTGGAGGAAAGAATAACAGTTTAAATGAACGGAAAAAGGGATAAGTAAAAGATAGAAAGAAAGCAATAAAAATGGCTCGTAAAAGCAAGTAAGTGTAGTATCTAATGCAAATTAGACAAGTATAAATAGAGAACAACTGGCGAACATAGGTGGCTATGCCTACAAAACCTAGGTGCTATTCAGGGCACGAAATACTATACTATGACTACTACTATGCAGTGAGATATGTAAAACATAACAGAAAGAAAGAAAGAAAGAAAGAAAGAAAGAAAGAAATGGAAGTAAGCAATGGAAGGAAGGATAGATAGAAAGAATATCAGCTTAAATGAACCGAAAGACTGATAAGAAAAAAGACAAAAAGAAGACAATAAAAATGGCACGTAAAAGAACGAAAGAAAGAAAGAAAGGAAGAAACAAGAAAGAAAATGAAGGAGTCCAAGAAGAAAATCTAGAAGGAAAAATAATGTTAATATCTTAATATCAACATTCCACACCAAGTCGAAACTTAAATGAGACCCCCATCAGTACACGAAGGAACGATAACATTTCGTGGCCATGAGAAGTCTAGACCATTTTATTTTAAGGTGATTCCTCCACCCAGGTCTATACCATTTGTCCTACGCTCTTTCTTATTTTCACCTGATGTCATCAGTTGCCAACTAGATACTTAACGGATTACACAACTATTTACTAAAAATATTTACTATAGCATTAATAGTTTGTCCGACAGAACTGACAAAGATAAAATTGGTAGCTGCTCTCGAAAATGACTTCCAGTCTGTTGTTAACTGGAGAAAGAAATGTCTTGTAAATATTTTAACACCGTCAAACCGAAATTGCCATGTTTTAATGATTATGGGATAGCGACATATTGCACCTTCTTGGTCTACTATCAAGAAGTCGAGTGTTATATTTATACAATCACGAGGATGGCGCTGAAAATTCTAAATTTAAATTAAACTTTTATTTTTAAATATATGTTTTGGTTATATATATATTTAAAATTTCCAGCGTTCGCTCTTTTTTATACGCATGTGTAGTCGCAATCTTTTGTTTTTTCTCTCTCTCTTTTTTTTTTTTTTTTGAAGCAAATCTCTCCAAGCAAGGCGTGAGTGCCACTAGCACGCAAAGGGTTACAGAGAGTAAGTGTAAAGAGGAGTGTTTGGGAAAAGGATAAAGAGAAGGGCAGGAATCAAGGTCAAGCTATCAGAAGATGTCGATTGACATTATATTTAAATATTTGAACATTATAGCAATCAGGGAAGCAAGTGATAGGAAGGGAGTTCTACTGACGGGAGGTGCAAGAAAAGTAACTGTTGAGGTAGAAGAGATAGCTGCATTTAGTCGTTTCGACAGTGAAAGGGCGGGACCGAAATGCCAACCTAGTAGCACGCTTCAATACATGCAGCTAGGGAACCAGTGAAAGTAGCTCGCCGGAGCAGTTGCCCTGAAAGCCTAAACATCAATTTAATCCTGTGAAGTTCTAAAGGAAATAATGCGTCACACATTTGATAAGTTTGCCATTTCATTTCCGTTAGGCTATTCTAATACGTCCGTGAATTAAGGTGTTGTTATATCCCGGATAAAATATTACTCATAATGGGGGAAATCCAATTTGAAGAATAAATGTTTCTTCCCTCGCAATCTTCCTTTAAAACAATAATAGCCAAATATAAAAGGGGCACTAAAGACAGGGCTGGAAACTTGCCGCCATTTGATTATCATCGCGTTGATATTTGCATTATATATACACAGACAATTTTCCTTATCGTTGTTGTTGTTGTCTAAACGTTTCGGCCTTCATTAGGTGATTGTAGATCCGACTACACATCAGAAAATTTCCAACGGATCGTTGGTTTTTATCTACCTGGGGTAGACGACAGGTGACGCAACTGATATTTATATCTTTATAAAAAAAATTGTATTTTAAACACAACAGTACATTTTACAGCCTGTAGCAAAAATGAGAATAAATATTTAAAAGTAAAAAATAAAATAAAATATTTATTATTTAAACAAATTAAGAAGAACAACACGAACACAAGAGTAGAAATAACGAAGGTATATTACACGAAATAATAATACAAGATGTGGTAGGTGTTAGTATGACTGTCAGTCTGGGTTGGAGTGAACTACTATCGACTCGACTCGATTCGATATTCACTTGAGACGATGGAAAGATGTGGCACAAGTTTTACGTGGTTTTTGCGAACCCGTAGGCTCGGACAAAAAATGCCCGTAGAAACTGTAAAAACAGAATCGGGTTGGTCACCCCGCCCCCAAATGAAGCTCTATCCTTCGGCGGAGCGTCGTCCAGGTTCCTCTCTGCTCATAGGAAGAGAGTTCGATCGTCAAGCCGAAACGGCTCGACTCGATTCGGTATCTAGCCACCCCACTACGAGGGTTGCATGTGGCACAAGGCCGAGTTTAACGTGGGTTTCCCCAGCCCGTAGGCTCGGCCAAAAATGCCCGTAGAACCCGTATAAACTGGATCGGGTTGGTCAACTTCCCCGAACGAGACTCTGCCCTACGGCGGAGCCTCGTCTGGGCTCCTCTCTGCTCAGAGGCTCAGAGGAGTTCGACCGTCAAGCCGAAAACCTCGGCTCGATTCGACCCTCTCTCTTGATAGGCGTAGTATACATAGTGTTAGCAAGAGTTCATTCTGTTTTTATAGGTAAGGACCCATGACCTATACTATAATATATCTTTCTTCTTTTTATGCGACATATCCTTTCAGAAGGTAGGCGATCATGGCTTTCCACTTCCCTCTATCCTTTGCAGCTCTCAACAAGTTCCTTCCTTCTAATTCCTCCCGCAGACCACGTTCTTTCATCCACTTGATTAAGCCCGCCAGGTATGCCACGCATTGTTTTCCCTTGTCTCTCTTTCCTTATAATCGACCCGTAAGTATCAGATTCTCCAGGCCCTCCGTCCTCATTATATGTCCCATAAAGTTCAGCTGCCTCTTCCTGGTATTAAGTATAAGACTCTTACTTGTTTGCAACCTCTCTAAGACCTCATCGTTGCTCACAGGTTCGGTCCATGATATCCTTATCATCCTTCTGTAGAACCACATTTCTGTCGGCTCGAGTCTCTTCTTTATCTTTGAAGAAATCATCCAACATTTGCTGCCATTAAAGAAGAACATGTCACGTAACAGCTCAGTATTCTTCCTGTCTCGCAGTATTTGCCCAGCTTTTGGAATGTGTCCTTGGATCTCAGTGACGCACATATCGTACTTTGTCAAGACGCTTCCCAGATAATTAAACTACCACGTCTTCTTGATTCTTGTGTTCCCGACCTTCAGATCGCATGTCGGGCTCATCCTCTTACTGACGACAGTGAATTCTGTCTTCTTGTAGTTTGTGCATAGTCCTTTCTTCTCACTCTCCGTCGCAACCTTCTGTAGGAGATTTTGTAACTTCTTTTCCGTAAACTTATACAACAGTAGTGAACTGGCTTTATTTGCTATAGCCGAAATAAAAATTGTTGCCTGGCACTTAATATAAAGGAAAAGTAACATTTGTGAGGCAGACAAACTGACAGAGTGATACAGAAAGTGACAGACAGGCAGATAAAGAGAGTGATAGAGAAAGAGAGAGACAGATAGAAACGGACAGAGAGACAAAGATAAATAGAGAGTGACATAGGGACATAAAGAAAGGAGGAGAGACATGGAGAGATAGAGAGAGACATAGAGAGAGAGAGAGACAAATAGAGAGACACACAAAATTCGTTTATTTCTCATTTAGTGCTACTCAGTGCATTCCTACTTAGTAATCACAACTACATCCGGGGAGTTAATTTACAAGGATTACCACCATATCCATGGACAAAAAAATAGATTATAGTCCCGCGGGACAATACTGAGTGATGAACTTATGCTTAAACCTAACCAAATTATCTTTTGTACTGCTGCTACTGCTGTAGCTTTGCTGTCAGTTCACTTTATGCCTTTAGTAACAACGACGAACTTGATGAATATTATTCGCCTGTATATATAATTAATGATGGCATACACCTGATATGCAGATAGAAAGGAATACTGAGGTATGTCACTTAATCCACATACAAATTGGAAAATATTAATGAAGTATATAAATAAGTAAATATAATTAATAATATTAAAAAATATAAGTTAATATAGGTAAAGAAAAGCGAAATTAAACAGAAGATCTAACAAATTATCACAAAACACTCTAAAACAAGAAGTGGAATTTGAAAAATATAAATAAGTCTATCTCTATCTATAAAAGGTAGGATGTGTGTGTGTGTGTGTGTGTGTGTGTGTGTGTGTGTGTGTGTGTGTGTGTAACAAATGCACGGCCGCAATTTTCGAAGGATTTGCACCAAAATTTACATCCACATGCTCCAAGTTAGCGCGAAGGCCAAGACTGACATTGCATTTCTCAACTTCCATCGTGGATAGTGGAAATAATCGATGTTTTCATGCTTCTACGGCAGTTTTCATGTAGTTTGCGGCCAATTTGTACTGGCAGGAAAATTCTATTGGCCAGCGTGAGAGCCAACAGCTGACTGACACGAATGTTAAGTAGCATGCAAAAAAAAACGATAGCTGCATTCGTCACAAGTGGGAAAAATTTAAATCTGCATTGCACTTTACTCCAATTGGCTCATTCGCTTGCTTAAACTCAACGTTGATTCTGATTCTGCAGAACTGGGTTGGGTGTGAAAAAGTATTTGTTGTTAACATTCTTTTTTCATTCGGTTTTTCCAGTTACGAGTCCTTTTTTAAAGGTGATCGTTTTGTGTTCACTTTGTTTAGTTCTTTTTTCGTAACAGATTTAATGTTTAGTATAGAGCTTAGAAAAAAATCGCAGTGTGAGATAGGCAAGAAGTAAGGCATGTAGCAACATCAGCACGGCAAAAGGGCACTCCTTTAAAGGCAAGGAAGGGCAAAATATTTTAAATTGTGATAGTGATTGCTGTATGATTCGGACGAATTTTAATCAAGCACGGGCAACGCCGGGCCATTCTGCTAGTATATATATATATATATATATATATATATATATATATGTGTGTGTGTGTGTGTGTGTGTGTGTGCGTGTGTGTGGGGGTGGGTGTGCTCGTGCGCGCGCGCGCGTGTGGATGTTTACTCATTTTTATAATAATCCATTATATTTCTCTAATTATCTTCTTGATGTTAAGTTGAAAAGGGTTCGGTTAGGTACGTTAGTTCCAATAACAATTCCCCATAGTGGATGAGGTCCGTATCCTTCTTGAGGGTGCATATTTTTCTGACAAGATTTCTCAGATATTCCGGCCGGGAGGTGTAAATGGATACAAAAAAAAAACCTTTTCTTTTAAAAAAAACAGATCTTCTATTCGAATATGAGTAGCGATCAAAACTAAACTTGAAACAAAATAAATTAAAAATACATCGGATTTAATCCATTTCCTTTAAATAAATTGTCTTTCGTTAGG